AAGAGAGAGAGAGAGAGAGAGAGAGAGAGAGAGAGAGCACACTGCTGCTGAGAGACATATTGTGGTTGCCAAATTAGTAATTGCAGCATCTACTTCATTCTTTGTTTGCATTCCTCTTAGTCTTTAGTATGTAGCTACGTCATACTTTACAACCGCTATCCTCCTCCATCAAGCAAGATATTTAACCAACCACTTTTACCACCAAAACTTGAGTGCACAACATCTTCGAGTAAAAGAAAAGACTTAGAAAGAAGAAAAAGATGACGAATGTGATATGCTCTTCTCACTGTCACCAGTCACTGAAGTGAAGTAAAAATTATAATAAGAGGGGAGCGAGTTGATTTCTTGCTCCTCATACCCTCCCTATACCAACATTTACATTTCCACTGTCTTGTGCAGAAGCAGAAGAAGAAGAAAACAAATTCAATCGCATTCTAAAGAATATTGAGTTGGTGATATTAATTCCTAATCTCAGCTAGCTTAAGCTTGTCTCATCTCACTCACTTGTATGGATCAATCCAACATTTATCATCCTTGACAGCTCGTTCCCATTTCCTTTTGAACACCTTCATTTCCTTGTAGGATTCTCTCCTCACCTACACCCAAATACACAACAAACTATTTTAATCCGAGTTAAATCCTAATCAACTCAAAAAATTACATGTCAACAGACTTACATCAACTCTATGGTCCTTTCCACTAGATTTTGATGATGATTGCTGCAAAATACCAACAACACATTAACTAGTCAGCCTCAGACAGACTTCAAATATCCACAACACAAACACAGCAAACATTTTCTCACCTCATTTTCATCTGAGCCTCCCAATGTAGGGCGACCATAATGGATTATGTACTCAGCATCCACAACACCAACTTTTTTAGTTCGATCGCCCTATTTAAACACCAAAACCAGAAAGGCCTCTTTAGGAAACGTTAAGGAAATCCTTAGAAAAGAAAGCATTAAAAGAAAAAATGACATAACAAGTAAACTGAGAAGCTTGCCTGTGCACAATAGCCAAGCTGCATATCCAGGCCCCACGCATGAATCAAGTCATTCTGCAAAGATCAAATCACAATTAACACCATTTCAATGTAATTTAGATTTGTTGTTTCTGTGATCCTATACATGAAAGGGAGAGTGAATGTGTGTTTATGAATCAAGCTTGATTTACAGAGTATTAGTTTGGCTAATACACCTGACAAAAATATGAGCCTCATATTAGTTTGGCTAATTTCTTGTGCTTTCTGCTCTAAGGCCAGAAGAAAAGCTATCTTGAAGTCCCAGGACAGTAGAAATAACACACCTGGATCATATGCCATACACAGCGCCAGGCAGCTCTCGAGAAAACAGGAGCCATCACTTCTATCCACCTGCAATGCAGATTTTCATTTTAGTTTCCTTCCTCAAGTAAGATAACTTCTGCAACTACAACAGTAATGCAACAGAATTTTCTTAAAATAGCTCACACAGAGAAAACCATCCATCACAAAATTTCATACAACACAAATTTCTAAGCTTTATAGTATAAGCCAAATAATTGAAATAAGGTAGTTGTAGTCCAAACACATTTTTACCCGGTGCAAGGGGGAGCTGTACTGCTTTCATCACAACCGTTCCCATTGTTACTAGCCTTGTAAGTCCTTCTGCAGACAAAATGGATCAAAATCATGTACACCATGAATATCATAGTCAACAACTGCTTGAAAGGATGCTTCAAATTAACCAGGAAGTCGGATTATCCCTGTCAAGCCTTTAGAATCACAGATATTAGTATTAGGAAGGAAAATGTTATGAGAGACCTGTGTGCTATCGATCCTCTCAAACGCGCAGTAATTTGATGATGCACCTCTGACTTGGTATAATCTAGTGCTGGTTGTGATATCTCAAGGCCTTCCTTTTGAACAATGGATACATACCTAAAAGTGTCAAAGAAGAAGACAAATATCAAGCATTTGTTAAATAAAATGTACTGTCATGTGGGATATAAGAAGCTTGGAACTCTTAATTTCAGCATGTAGAAATTTGTCAACAGAGATGCAGCCAACAATACCGTTTGGGGTGGAAATTTTCAACTCCAAGGTCCTCATCCCAGAGAAAAATGTAACTATACTCAGCAACTATATCAGGATGCAAGAAACGCTTGGCAAACCACCTAGGCATCAAGAAATCCATCACCAAGAAAACACATCTCAGTAATGCAACTTCCATCAAAACTGTTCTGTTGTCAGTCATGCAAGGATAGACCCATACCATTTAGTTTGATTGATTGCAGATACATGAATAACAAGATCACTCCATTGAAATTCCTTCCACTCATCGACGATGCCATCATAATGGAAAAGCATCACAACAAAACCACTTGACAGAAACTGCAATATGGAGAGTGAAAAGCAATTACTTGTGCAGCTATGAACAAGAAAAAGAATTATCATCAGTTCTTTTCTTTTTTTCAAGGGGTGTAAGGCTGGGGCTTAGAATAAAGATTTACTTGGGACCTTTTATGAGTATGGCTTTATAGGAATACCTTTTTGACCATTTTACTGACAAGATCTTTTTGCTTTATACCAACAGCCATCGCAAATAAATTAGTTGAATTTGCATCTTTCTTCTCCAACAAGTTAACTGAAGATTTTGAGCGTTTCTGGTCAAACAGTGCAAGAGTAATTAATATAAACCTTCAGCACTTACACTTGGAACAGGATGCGAAGGTTACATACACAAACATATATCCTCCCAATTCAAGGGAACACATCAAATGAAGGATTACTAATGAGAAGTTCCATCCAAGATTCCATAAACCTACCTTACCTTTTTTTCATTCCATAAGGGCCGCATTTCCAAATTAGAAGTCTTGGAGACAATATCTTGAGGCAATGCCTCACTTCCATAAGGCCTGTATTGATTCTAAAACAGAGAAACAATTATAAGTGATAAATCCCCAAAACTCATTTTCTAGGAAAGACTAAAGATGCAGGACGGATTAGACTACTTTCGTGGAAAATATAATCGGTATGGAATGATTAACAAACCTTGCATTTGTTATTTAGATTCTGCAAGCTGTTTGTGACTCTCCAAAGTGATGATTTCTGTGCAAGAGAGTGGTTATCAGAATGATTAAAATTCCCTTCTTAAAGCCTCGTACTGAGTCAGAAGCTGAACTTTGAATTCTAATTTTAAGGGAAACTGCAGATAATTTGATAAGAAAAGCAAGATGAACCATACATACCTCTTCTTTGTACTCTGATGATAAGGTGAGTATGAGAAACAGTAGACATAACAGAGAAGCTGCCGGGAGAACGTTACAAAGGCGTGATTTCCCGCTTCTTGTATCTGCACGTAAAGTCACCTGAGAAGAGGAGGTCATAAGATATTTTAATGGCTGTATAAAAGTTTTGATTCTCTTAACAAAAAAATTAAGAAGAGATTGAATATAAAATCAAGAAGATTTACAATATTGATTGAATATAAAATTAAGAAGAGAGCGAGTGCTTACAGAATTGGGGGAGGACTTCATATTTTTACATGGGGACGATGAACAGAAATCATGCAACAACAAACAGATTTCTGTTCTTTCTTGTTTCGTTTCTTCTCTTTAGGATGAACACAACAGAATGAGTTGCAGAAAACACGATGAAGATGATGATTGATTAATCATAGATGAACAGGAACAGGAAGAGGAACCCAGAATCACTGTATCAGAAAAAGAAACAAGAGCGTCACAGGAGCAGCATCAGCATTAAGATTGGGTGCCTACCAATGATCACATGATGATGATCACACCGTAAAACAAAACAAAACACATTGAGTCTAGAGGCAGGAGGCAGGAGGCAGGAGGCAGAAGGCAGAGGGTGTTTGTTAAGAGAAACCCGAATAACACGCAGAAGATTAGTCAAAAAAATAGTGGGGAAGCACAACTCTCACGATCTTCCTTCTTGTCTTCCTTTTCTATAAGTAAAACTAGTCTCCACAATTATAATTATAATTTAATTTAATTTAATTTAATAATCAATCATAAATAAGAGCAAAAGTAGACAATAATTACAAAATTATGATACTGTCTTTAATTTTGTTTTTGTTTTTCTCATGCTTGGAAAGGAAGGACAACATGTTGTCACGTTATGGGTTTATTTATTTCCTTTTTCAAAAAATTTAAAAATTTATATTTTTGGTGGATGGTGTGTCGTCTTAGCTTGTAAATTGTACTTAGGTTGCAGATTTTTGATTAGATGAGACAACAACACTTTCTTCACGAGATAATATCATTATCAACCTTGTAAATTCTTGTATCTTTATCTTTTGATTTCATCAGTTTTACTTTTATTCTCTTTCTTTTACAATAAAAATTAAAATAAATAAATGGCATCTATCTTTTTATCGCTCCCTTAGATTAAGATTAAGAGAGAGTTATCCAAACAAAAAAAGCGCGTAACAAACGCTTCTCTGTGTATATCTGTGTTACGTTGCAGCAAGCAGCTGCATATTTATATATACATACAGTATATAGTATACTGTCGTCTGCTGCTAAAAGAAAAAGAAAAAGAAAAAGTGAAAGGTAAAAGGCAAAAGGCAAAGGAAATTTTTAAAAACTAAAAAATTCTTACATTTTCACATCGCAAGCTTCTCCTTGTTGGTTTTAGCAGGAGCCCTATTCAATCATATCATATGCTACTAAATTCAAGTATACGAATCAATTCAAACCCCACATTAATTCTTAGTGAATTTGATTCGATTGATTGATGTATATCTCTTACATGTTCGTAGTATCGTAGTATTCTATAGTCAACTCTCATTATGGCATCGGCATATCATTCTCAGTGTGTATAAATGAATGAGAGAGATATGAAAATGTATACACAATAATTGTTTTCTTTTCCCTCTTGTATTTCTATCAAAAATATCAATGATGTGGTCCCTCTCCCTCCCTATGATTATGATATCATGAATCAAAGTTTGTCAAATTGTTGAAGTGCCACAATCAAGATTCAAAACAGTCCCTTCTCATTGAACGTGGCTTTCCAAAGCCCAAAGCAGAAAAACACTATGGGCCTGTCATTTGGGTTTTCATTTTGAATGAGCCTCTTGAGGAAGGCAAGACTCATTTCTGGGTTGAAGCCTGATTAAAGGCTCTTGAGTTGAGATTAGGATAATAATGTGAATTAGATTACAAGTTTTGGCAACTACAAGACTAATTTAATTAGCCTCTATAGCTTTAAACCATGATCATACAGAAACAACAAAATTTCAAACAGATAGAAAACAAATGAGGACCAAGAGCAAGAGGCAGCGATCATATTTCTTTCCCCTGGATTGGTTGAAACGCGCGTGTAGTCGTCAATGCACAAATTCTAGAACTGCATAGTAAGCGATCAACACTGGAAGGGACACTATCATGCCAAATATCACCCTGCATGCACACACATATCAGTTAGAAATATATATATATAGAAAAAGGAATATATGTTAATAAGGAGAGGCAGCTACATACGCTGTACTGAGCACCTCCGCATGGAGTCCGTATTCTTTGGCAAATATGAAGGAGGTAATGGACTGCGGCAATGCTGCCTGCAAAATGCTCAAGTCAAGTTGTGTAATATATGGATTCCAAGTTGACAATTCATATCAAATTAATTAATGAGCACACAAACAACAATTAGTGCGGTACTTAGCTTCAATTTCTTTAATAAAAGTTAATACACAATTAGTGCGAAAAGAATTGTGTGGCGTTGGGAACTATAGTCAGATCTCACCAAGCATCAAATTAAATAAAGCCAATTTGGGAGTTACCTGAATGATGGCAACACGTAAAACGTCACCATGCAAGCCCACAGCGATGGAGCCAATAGCCATGGCTGCTGGTCCAGCAATAAACCTCAAAACCATCCCTATTATAGTCAGGCTCGTCCCGCACGCCACGAATTTTTCCTGCAGTGCCATGAAGATACCTGCATACATACATGCATACATATGAGTATCAAAACGTACGACACATATATCTACATATATATATATGTAAAAGAACATGCAGTGCCATGAAGATACCTGCATACATACATGCATACATATGAGTATCAAAACGTACGACACATATATCTACATATATATATGTAAAAGAACATACATATATCAGTGTCACTCACCCATGCTAAACATGGCAGTGCCTGTACCAGCTTTTGACATGATTAAAACAGATCCTTCCATAATGCTTGGCAACTCAATATGCCACCTGCTTGATATAAAAGCCCATCCAATCCCAATGAAAACCGCATACGAGTTGGGATTCATCCCAAGTTTCAGCCACACAGCCTTCATCAAGTACCAGAAAGAAGGCCTACTGCTGCTCGTCGTGCTCATTGCCGACAACCCTTCTACATCTTTCCCTCCTTCACCTTGCTCCACCGATTGACTTGTGTTAGTCCCCGAAATCATATGCACATCTAACGACCCCGTTCGTCGAAATTCTAAGACGAACAGAAGAATTGTCAGCCACACGATAGCCTGCACCACCGATGATTGAACAACAAGATCAACGGCTACCTGACCATACATGGCTCTCATCAAGGGTACCCCTACCACAAGCGAATTTGTCAAAGTGCACAAGGAGAAGCTTGTGATGGACCAACTATAGCTTCCCTTGCTACTACACTTGGCCCATAACGCAAGCACCGCCACGATTATGAGCTTTGAGATGGCGTCCGCACCGATGAAGCGGTAGTTCCATTTGTAAGGATCAACATGAGCTGTGAATTCAAATGTGAAGAGTGGGAGAGTGAAGAAGCAAACAAAGCGGTTGATTGCACCACACTGCTCGGGTGTGAAGATGCGCCACCACCTCACAGAGCCAAACCCTAGAATTAGGGCAAAGTAGAGTGGCACCATGGCCACCACCACCTTGTAAACATCTCCCCAACCTATCATCTCTGCAAGAATGATATTAATTCTAGTGAGTGTATAGTTAGCTTGGCAATGTTGATGAACTTGATTGGCTACTTATATATATATGCATGCACAGTGCACTGCAGGACAACGCAAACTTTGTTCCTTTGTCTTTTTTATTCTTTTTTTATCTTTTTAGGAGGGATCGATGTTATTGCAAAGATGATGTAACGTGCAATATCATTAAGCGAATGAGAAACAAATTATACGACTTTTATCAAACAGTTATAGTGTATGGCCTTTTGCCGGACTTGATGAATATCTTGAAACTTGGATGTTTCTATCCTAAGGAAAACTTTTGCCTGCAACAGTTAAAATTGCCCTCTGAATGGACCTCATTAATTATGAAATTCGGTCAAAAAAGTCTTGGAGAGTTCAAACACATCATGTTAGTTAGTAGTTATGTGGAAGACTGCATCAAGAGATAGGTAGGTTGGTGGTGGTGGGTGTATATGATTCTATGCGCGCGCGGGGTGGATTCTCAATATTAGTTTTGGTGTGAGTGCCTGAAATTGTAAAGTTGCTATCACCAATATTGGTCAGCAATCTTTTATAATATTATTAGAATAAGGAACGAGGTCCAGCAATTATTCCACCCACCTTTGCAAATTGAAAATTTACACCATATTATTATATATACATATAGCTTTCATGCTTGCTATCTTGTGGAATTCAGAAGCGGATTTGTGCAGAAATTGTTTCAATTTGTTGATCATATATACTGCAATAATGCAGAAAGCATTAGAAAAATCAGCATCCTTGTCACAATTTGCATCTTGTAATGTCACCATAAAGCCTTATACATATATGCCGATTATATATCTGGGAATTTGACCAGTGACTGATCCATATATAATATATGCTTTCGTCTCCATAAGCATATGGAATAAATTCTATATATATTTTTCATGTGTGGCCGACTTAAACTCGTCAATTCTTTAGCTTAATTAGCAAATTAATGAAATCCACTGCAATTTCTATATATGAATTCAAACTCCACTGACATTGATATTCCTCTGGTTTTTGATGGGATGTGAAATATGCTTGATATTTCTAATGGTTGGCTCAGTTGTTGGGTTTCTTCCTTTAGCAGTTAATTGGATGGTTTGGAATGCCTTGCGTGTTAGTATTATGTCTCTAGTAGCTATTACTGTCGTCTATATATAAAAGGGAGTACTTGAGAGCACTCCCTACCACAAAAAATTCAGACAATTTTGGTCCGCAGAAATATTTAAATCAAAACGTTCTTTGTCTTCTTTTTCCATTGGCTTCTGTTCATTCATTATTTCTTCCATCTTACTTTTAAAAACAAGTAATTAACTAGTAATTAAGTCAAATAACATATGTCTAGGTAGTGATTTTCTTAGTCATCATACATAAAAGTTTTGGTTTACTTACGTTGGAATAAGCTAGGTCAATCTTAATATAGAAATTAAGAGCTGTGCGGCTGTGAAGATGGATATAGGTTTTTAAACAAAAGGGGTTCTTAGATCTAGGTCCAAAACGATTAGCTGTCATTGGGTTTAGTCCTCGTGTTTTTGGTTTTAGATGTAGGTCATTTGACATTTATTACTTTTTTGTTGTGTCGATTTTACCCTTTAAGGTAAATAAGGAGAACACATTGAAAATCTAAATTTAATGCATTATTTCCTTGAAATTGAATTCCAAATTTTGAATTTTGAATTTTTTTTCCTTGATAATATTCCTAATATATAGATAAAATACAATTTAATCAATAAAAAGTAAAGACTCACATATTATACCAATCGATCAGACAAGCACCCACATTAAATTATGTACCTGACATACAGGTAAATAATGTTAATATATACAGGTATATATGTACCTGCCTTATAGGTATATATATACCTGCCTTACAGGTAAGTGTTTTTTTCTTACCATATTATTATATATACATATAGCTTTCATGCTTGCTATCTTGTGGAATTCAGAAGCGGATTTGTGCAGAAATTGTTTCAATTTGTTGATCATATATACTGCAATAATGCAGAAAGCATTAGAAAAATCAGCATCCTTGTCACAATTTGCATCTTGTAATGTCACCATAAAGCCTTATACATATATGCCGATTATATATCTGGGAATTTGACCAGTGACTGATCCATATATAATATATGCTTTCGTCTCCATAAGCATATGGAATAAATTCTATATATATTTTTCATGTGTGGCCGACTTAAACTCGTCAATTCTTTAGCTTAATTAGCAAATTAATGAAATCCACTGCAATTTCTATATATGAATTCAAACTCCACTGACATTGATATTCCTCTGGTTTTTGATGGGATGTGAAATATGCTTGATATTTCTAATGGTTGGCTCAGTTGTTGGGTTTCTTCCTTTAGCAGTTAATTGGATGGTTTGGAATGCCTTGCGTGTTAGTATTATGTCTCTAGTAGCTATTACTGTCGTCTATATATAAAAGGGAGTACTTGAGAGCACTCCCTACCACAAAAAATTCAGACAATTTTGGTCCGCAGAAATATTTAAATCAAAACGTTCTTTGTCTTCTTTTTCCATTGGCTTCTGTTCATTCATTATTTCTTCCATCTTACTTTTAAAAACAAGTAATTAACTAGTAATTAAGTCAAATAACATATGTCTAGGTAGTGATTTTCTTAGTCATCATACATAAAAGTTTTGGTTTACTTACGTTGGAATAAGCTAGGTCAATCTTAATATAGAAATTAAGAACTGCGGCTGTGAAGATGGATATAGGTTTTTAAACAAAACAAAGTGCTAGCTAGGGCGGACGCATGCAAAAAGGTTCTTGTATCTCTCATTGTTTTGCCATCTCACATCTGAGGCAAACTGAGGCAGAGGATCAAAGCAAACCAAGCCACCTTTCTCCATCCTTAATTAATAAGTGCTAATTTTGACTTAAGCATGCATGCAGTTGCCAACAAATGAAGTGACTTTAAATATAATTATATGCTCAGTGTGGTGAAATTAGGAGATTATGAGTAGCTGATAGCATCCAGTGTTTGACTTGTTTTGCTTTAATTATAGATAATTAGTGGCAAGGGCATTAAGCTTGCCACTCGAGCAATACGTGTGGATTGTTTGTTTTTTGTATGGTTCTCATTCCCCTCTGTCTCTGTATGCGCGTGCTTATTTCCATTGTCTTCTTCTTCTTCTCTTCAGCTGCGCTTTTATTTTTATTATTAATTTTTTCTTGAATTTAATATGAAGGGTGCATGCAAATTGCAATGCAGTGCAATGAAAGAATATAACACTAACACAAAGAACAAATTCTCGAAAAAACTGAGTGGTTTCTAAGATGACAAACCATCATCTTTATTGTGACATGAGATGGGAAGTAGCTTATATGAGATGGTAATATTCTACTCAAAAGCTTGGTGCGCTTTATGTGGCAGAATATAATATAATATAGTATAAATTTGTGTTGAGATTGACAAAGCAGCTTGTAGGAGCTGTGCGCTTTGTGTTTTGTGTCTTTTGACAATTCAGATAAGAGATGGAGACAGAAACTGTTTGATATTTGATTGGACAAAAATAAGAGAGGAGAGGACAAAACTTGGTGGTGGGTGCAGTGCAGTATGCCAGTACGTATCAATTAATCACCTGAGGCAGAGTCGCAGAGTCATTCTTTGCTGGATGAGGAATTAAGGCATATTTTACAACCTTTTCTTTTGGGGTTCCTACTGGGAATTAAGGCATCTAATGTCCTCACCTAGCATTTAGCATTTAGCATTTTGCAATCAGCAATCAGCAATCAGCAATAGCATATCTGAATCTTTCATCATCTACATATAAGTATATACTGGGAAGCTTGGACTTGGGTTAATCAATCTGGATTTGGTTCTTTAAGCCCAATGATGTGTTTCTAAGAGAGCTCGGGTTGTGCTTTGCTTTTTTTTTCCAAACATGGAAATTGATTCATATCAATTTAGAAATTCTGACTTTTATCAAAATCCTAAGTTTATTTCCTTCATCCAAACACACTGTAATGGAAGTAACGCAAATCAGAAAACAAAACAGGCTGGATGCCAACCAAAAGTTGTGCCATAGATGCAAATGAAGGTCTCTAAAATCAGCACTATACAGTGGGACTGGATTTTCAGAATTCAATCCAATATAAACTGGTCCTTCAAAGTTTAAATGTGTGGAAGGTTCCTGCTATATATGATTAGGGTCATAACTATCGAGTGTTGGGCAACAAGTGATGGGAGTGAGGTAGCCCAGCATTCTGCATGGCACTAAAATTAGTGCCGATTTCATGGTCATTGTTGGCGGCAGCCATACGAAACCTTGCAGGGTGTCCATAAGTTTCATACAGCAGAGATGATGAACTTAACCCTATGGCACCAAAATTAGCGTCAGTATCATGTTCGTTGGCAGCCATACGAAACTGTGCAGGTGTCTGTAATTTTCATACAGCCGAGTTAACGAACTTAACTCCACTGCACCAAAATTAGCACCAATTTCTTGTTTGTTGGCCACCATACCAAACTTATCTGCACCAGTTTTATGCAGCAGAGATGACGAACTTAACTGCATGGCACCAGAATTAGCACCAATTTGATGGTCGTTGGCAGCCATACCAAACCGCCCAGGGTGTCCATAGTTTTCATACAGCCGAGAGGAGCCACTGTTGAAGGCTGCCAATGCATATAAGGCCTAGGAATGGCTGCTAGAGGTGTCAGATGACTTATATTTTGACGTTTCTCTGGTCGTTGGAACTTGGGGGCAGAAGTGCTAGTACTACATTTCTTCCTTTCTTCATGTTCTCGTTGTTACAACTTGGAGGCAATACATATCTATAAACGTCTCCAACTCTCCTTTAGTTTTTCGAGCTGAAGAATTTATGACTCGATATCCAGGGACAATCCCATGTCTACGCTAACCTGGGTTATACTTGATTTTTTATGGCCCAAATTTAATAGTGTTGAAGAATATAAAGTCTCACATAAGAAACTTGACTAAATAAATTACAACTTATAATAAGAGGTTGCACTCCTAATAATACCGATGCCTTTTGTGATAAAACTTCATCTCTACTGGGCTTTGTAGGTGATTAAGTTGGGGACAATATCGGTGTTATTAGTAGTGGGTCATCCATCTAGACCCAGACCCACACTCTGACCCAGCCGGCCACATCTTGATTCGGTGTGGCCACTGACCCGACCAAAGCATTTTGTAATAAAATCCCACATCTATTGGGCTTTGTAAGTGATTTTTTACATCCCACACAGACACACAGACACACACCCATCTCACTCACATAAAATCTCATATTTTTTCTTTAGTTAACTAACCCGACAAGTCTGATAAAGAAAAACATAAACTAACCTCACACACATGACACATACCCCTTTTCAGAAAACACTCATTTCATTCCCTCAAAGAAAATCCTTTAACTTGGCTTGAACACCTTCTTTTAATTTTTATTTTCCAAGTTGGCTTGAATGGCTAGATAGACTAAAATGGTTCAGTTTTTTCTTCTTCTTTTGTAATGGATAAATGCTTTCAATTTTTTTCCTTTCAGGGAGAAGTTTATCGTGTAATTGCTATAATTGACCTTAAAATTCATACTTCAATTTTTCTATACATGCTTATATGTGAGTCTGCACGCCCAGTTGCTTGTTTTTGTCCATAACTCGATGTTAATTTAATCAAGCATGATCTTATTTTCATTTCATGTTCCTTGGGAAAGTTTTGGAGTAAAGAATAAATAAATTTAAGCTTTCATGGTGACAAAAGTACTGAAGTTAAGTTTACTAGTTGTAGTAAAAGAAAAAATAAATATGATCACGACACGAGAACCACTAAAAAAAGAATGGTGATTTGAAATCATTAAAGCATTATTTCTCTCATCTATGTTAGAGAGTTCATAATAGATTAACATTTTCCTTTAATAATGAATAATGATGTGGTTACATTTTGAGGAATGGAAGCGTGTCAATTTATGAGAGTGCAAGTTCCATGGCAAAATTTATATATGAGGGCATGGAAATCCCCCAAATTGAATTTATTATTTACCAACCATCTACGTACCTAGACTCCACCTGCTGAAATTCCTTGGCTAATGACCTTTGCAGATATTCAAAATCTAAAAATCCCCCAAACTAAACTAATTCTTTAACTCTTTTCTTTGGAAATAGACCTTATATTTTATTTGTGTTTCTCTACCCATAGATAACACGCATAAATGAGGAAATGACACCTTTTGTTGCGGGAGTGAAGCGGATTACATATTTGGTGGAATTTGTAGCATTGGAGCAAATGCATCCATCAAGGTACCTTCTATAGTCTTTTGTTAGATCATTCGAATATATATATTATTAAATAGTATAACCGCACGGGTATACTCTTCAAATATATTCAAATATTTTAAAAGTATAGCTGTGCTATATTTCACATGATCGTTTTCTTTTTTTGTAGAGTAATATCTTAGCCTTTTTCGATTACTTTTTTGTAACAAACATGATACCAACGCTAATTTTGGTGCCACTCATTTCATTCCCTCAGAGAAAATCCTTTACCTTGGCTTGAATACCTTCTTTTCAATTTTATTTTCGAAGTTGGCTTGAATAGCTAGATTGACTAAAATGATTTTGTTTTTTTTTTCTTCTTCTTTTGCAATGGATAAATGCTTTCAATTTTTCAACTACCTCAAGATATCAAAAACCCATCGCTTGGATTAGCGAGGCAGGTGCATGGCCGGGGGTGAGAGAGAGAGAGAGAGAGAGAGAGAGAGAGAGAGGTGACGAAGGTTTTGAGAAAAAGAAAACTGTGGAAAATGAGTTTTACCAAAAGAGAATTATGGACTTTGGACTCACAAATTGTTTTTTAGTTTTTTAAAAAAGGATCTAAGTAGAATAAAAAACATGGGCTAAGGGTAAAAAATTGGCATATTCCACCAACAGGAGTTGGTCCAAGTGGAAGGGGCTTGGATCTTTTAAACAAGAGGTCCTGGGTTCGATCCCAGGCGCTTGCGAATAGAGCAGACTTTGTTGGGAGAGGTCCCCGCTTTGCACTCGACAGTACCTCGAGGGTTAGTCCCCGCAATCGCGCGGGGGATACCTTGGTTTTCACAAAAAAAAAATGGAAAATGAGTTTTACCAAACGAGAATTATGGACTTTGGACTCACAAATTGTTTTTAAGTTTTTTAAAAAAGGATCTAAGTAGAATAAAAAACATGGGCTAAGGGTAAAAAATTGGCATATTCCCCCTGGCCAATTGGTGTTGTCCACGTGGTCCCGGGGCATAACTTTCAATTATATAAAAGAAATAAACTATTTTAGTAACAATTAACATCAACATAATGAATTTTTCATATATAATCTTTAAATGGTAATTTAGAAAGCGAACAGTTCTGATTATGACATGTGTATTGAAGTAAAGATTCCTTAATCACAATATAGTGGACTCACCTTTTTTGGATTTACGCATTTATGCAGGCTTACTTTGAGGATCAAGATACATATAAATTGAAAAAAGTCTTATCAAAGTAGGCAATCAATCTAATGCAACATCATAAAAAAAAAAAACAACCATTGGAGAATCAAAAACATTATTATAGGTGATAAATGAAGTGTGTTTAAATTTTAATTCTAAGACAAGTCATATGCCCAATGAATAAATGATACATAGAAAAGTTAAAAAGATGACGAATATTTGGACAATAAAGGTTTGTATTTATGCAACCCAAAAATGTTTGGTTTGGTCATTTTATTTTTTATTTTTTATTTTGTAACTCAATGAAGTGTTATGTGTGATAATTTTCAATAATCATGGGAGTCATAGGTAATTTACACGACAGTCCGAAGAAAGGCCATCACTACTGGACTAATACAAGAGGATGGGCCAATGCGAATTGAAAGTGAGGACATGTGGCCAAGTCCAGGGTCGAGGCAATTAAGCAAACCAGTCCAGTCCACTCCCTATAAATTCTAAATTATAATACAAAACGAAACGACATCGTATGAAGAAGAGAACCTTCCTATCCAAAGAGGGCGCCTGATCTCGCAAATGATAAAACCTTAACTTAACCCTCGGGCCCTCAGAGTCCCAAACGAGAGTGAGAGGAGATCTGAGAAGATGAGAGATGAGAAATACAGAGGTGGTTTGGAAGCCCTAACAATGGCATTGGCTCTATGATCGGAGCCTTCACTGGAGATCAGAGACATGAGCGTGAAGAAAGAGAGAGACGACGGGGCATGAAGAAAAGCTCCTCCAATGCAATTCTTGTTTTCCGAGGTTTAACGCCTCGATGGCCGCCATTGATCCACGATCGGATCCGTTCAAGATCTCACCGTTGAAATCGCGTAGTAATTAACACCAAGACCAGAGATCTGATGGGGCTAGGTATGGGGATTTCAGGACCCGTCAAAGTTGATTTTGAAATTTAGGGTTTACTTAGGTTTATGGTTTACGGAGATCATTGTTTTTGATTTGATGGAACGACATGCCTGAGGAATTAATTAGTATTTCGGTCTTTACTTCAATGCATTAATGCGTTCGCTGTTTGCTTCCATTCCAGGTACACTCCCTGGCAGCTTACTCAAGATGCGATGTGGATTGATAGAGGCACTGACAGCGGGCCTTCCATATCTTTAAGGTTTTACTCCTTACTCATTCAAGCATTTGGATGTATGTTTTTCTTTTGTAAAATGTCACCTTTTGTTTTAAATGGAAACAAAATGAACAAAAATAAGTTTCCAGAGGCAAATAGCATAGTAGTGTTGAAAACTTGAACGATATATCTGACAAAAACAAAATTGGCACACATTATGGGAGCGCTTTGAAATAGCATATTTTTGTTGAATGATGTATTCTGATATGAGGGAGTGGGGGACGGTATCTTACATATGGAATCGGGAACATTGTGACATTACATCAGTGATATACGGTGGCGTGGTGAATTTAAAAGTAATCATTTGTAGCAATATCGGATGGTCTAATAACCATGCATAACTAGACTGTTCGACAACTTGATGTTCCGACAAAAAGAGAACATCAGATGATGGGGTTTCTCTAACTTTCAATGTAACATTAGGTGAAAGACATTAGAACGTGAAAAGGGTTAGTGTATTATTCAAATATTGTCACACACAATGTTCTAGGCAATGTCAGTAATCTGAGTGTTTTAATTAGACCCTCCTTTTCAACTTTTCAAGTTAAGACGAGAATGCAAGGAGTCTCAGAAGTTCTCAGTATTTTCTTTTGCATCTATGCACCCAAGCAATTTTTATAGGTTAGAAATAAAATTTGTAGCAGTAAATTTCATAGAACTAAAATTTATCTGTCCACATTGTCAAATATATACGGAGGATAGATTGGCAGTTATAAATTTAGAAGTCTATTCAGTCTCTCTCACTCTCTGTTGTTCTGTTATATTTCCTGGTTGTAGTTGTTACACATCAATCTTGATTTGATATAATTTTTCATTGCAACCGTTTATCATTCATTTTTTGTTATCCATTGAACCTTTGGATTATGTAAAAGCTGGAAGATATATAACATATATAATTTCTGTTTTAATTTTATTTCCGTGTATTGGCAGGTATTCTTTTTGGTAGTAAAATGTTGTTTAAAATGAAGTTATGAATATACAAATGTAGTAATAGAGTATTTTAAAATGTTTCTTCAGGATGTTGTGTTCTGGTTTGCTATCTTTAATATTCAGTGGTTATCCTACATCAAATGTTCTTCCTATTTGTTGCAGCATCTTGCATTTTAAATAAAAGAACCTGTTGTTCTATGTTCTTTTTTCATATTGACATAACTATTCTTCCTATAATTCCCACTTGTTGCATTTTACCTTTAATTTCCCTTTTTTTATTCTATGGTTTTTTTGATATCCTTTTATATTACTAGCTTTGGAGTTTGTCCACATTTTAAAAACATTATTCGTTCCTGAAATGCCAGCGCTGGAGTCTGTTACTGTTAGCTTTTTATTTTGCAGGTAATTTTTGAGGATTGATGTTTCTTCTAGAGACATGCAATGATGATTTTTGTTAGTTCATTCGTTAGTGTGAGACGCTTTCTTATGTTTGTTTGTTGTGTCGTACACTTGCACATTCAGTAATTCTGCTTCGGTTCAACTTATTATTTTGCACACTGACCATCTGGTTTATTTCAGTCTTATTCCAATTGTTATTGTTTCTTATGGTTCTAATTGTTTAATTTTGTCTCAACTTTTGAGTCCTGGTATTATTTTATTAATTGTTTAACTGTTTTTTTCCCAGGATATCTAAAACCAGAGCTACCAAGATTTTGCCTCAAATTTCCTTTTTTTTATTTTTATTTTTTGACTAATTTGATCTAATTTCAAGCAAAAGAAGTGTGTATAATATCAGTTCTTTTATTTGAGTGCTGCGGATTGTAGTAATTATTTGTCTCATTCAAGCATTTGGATGTATGTTTTTCTTTTGTAAAATGTCACCTTTTGTTTTAAATGGAAACAAAATGAACAAAAATAAGTTTCCAGAGGCAAATAGCATAGTAGTGTTGAAAACTTGAACGATATATCTGACAAAAACAAAATTGGCACACATTATGGGAGCGCTTTGAAATAGCATATTTTTGTTGAATGATGTATTCTGATATGAGGGAGTGGGGGACGGTATCTTACATATGGAATCGGGAACATTGTGACATTACATCAGTGATATACGGTGGCGTGGTGAATTTAAAAGTAATCATTTGTAGCAATATCGGATGGTCTAATAACCATGCATAACTAGACTGTTCGACAACTTGATGTTCCGACAAAAAGAGAACATCAGATGATGGGGTTTCTCTAACTTTCAATGTAACATTAGGTGAAAGACATTAGAACGTGAAAAGGGTTAGTGTATTATTCAAATATTGTCACACACAATGTTCTAGGCAATGTCAGTAATCTGAGTGTTTTAATTAGACCCTCCTTTTCAACTTTTCAAGTTAAGACGAGAATGCAAGGAGTCTCAGAAGTTCTCAGTATTTTCTTTTGCATCTATGCACCCAAGCAATTTTTATAGGTTAGAAATAAAATTTGTAGCAGTAAATTTCATAGAACTAAAATTTATCTGTCCACATTGTCAAATATATACGGAGGATAGATTGGCAGTTATAAATTTAGAAGTCTATTCAGTCTCTCTCACTCTCTGTTGTTCTGTTATATTTCCTGGTTGTAGTTGTTACACATCAATCTTGATTTGATATAATTTTTCATTGCAACCGTTTATCATTCATTTTTTGTTATCCATTGAACCTTTGGATTATGTAAAAGCTGGAAGATATATAACATATATAATTTCTGTTTTAATTTTATTTCCGTGTATTGGCAGGTATTCTTTTTGGTAGTAAAATGTTGTTTAAAATGAAGTTATGAATATACAAATGTAGTAATAGAGTATTTTAAAATGTTTCTTCAGGATGTTGTGTTCTGGTTTGCTATCTTTAATATTCAGTGGTTATCCTACATCAAATGTTCTTCCTATTTGTTGCAGCATCTTGCATTTTAAATAAAAGAACCTGTTGTTCTATGTTCTTTTTTCATATTGACATAACTATTCTTCCTATAATTCCCACTTGTTGCATTTTACCTTTAATTTCCCTTTTTTTATTCTATGGTTTTTTTGATATCCTTTTATATTACTAGCTTTGGAGTTTGTCCACATTTTAAAAACATTATTCGTTCCTGAAATGCCAGCGCTGGAGTCTGTTACTGTTAGCTTTTTATTTTGCAGGTAATTTTTGAGGATTGATGTTTCTTCTAGAGACATGCAATGATGATTTTTGTTAGTTCATTCGTTAGTGTGAGACGCTTTCTTATGTTTGTTTGTTGTGTCGTACACTTGCACATTCAGTAATTCTGCTTCGGTTCAACTTATTATTTTGCACACTGACCATCTGGTTTATTTCAGTCTTATTCCAATTGTTATTGTTTCTTATGGTTCTAATTGTTTAATTTTGTCTCAACTTTTGAGTCCTGGTATTATTTTATTAATTGTTTAACTGTTTTTTTCCCAGGATATCTAAAACCAGAGCTACCAAGATTTTGCCTCAAATTTCCTTTTTTTTATTTTTATTTTTTGACTAATTTGATCTAATTTCAAGCAAAAGAAGTGTGTATAATATCAGTTCTTTTATTTGAGTGCTGCGGATTGTAGTAATTATTTGTGTGCGTGGTTTTCTTTTTTCTTTGTGAGCCGCTTGGAACATACATTAGGGCCAAATAACTTTTGGGCTTATGGATACTTCCGACCCACAATACTAAATTCGGCGTCGTCAAGTTAAAGTTTAACGCTATTATAAACGACAAAATAAGACTACTTAAAGGCCCATAAACTATCAAAAAGCCCACTGGAAAGCCAATAAACGACAAAGTGGGCAGTAAAGAGTTCCTAAGCGACAAAATAAGTCCGACGAAGGGTCATCGAACTGCAAATAGGCCCGACGAATGGCTACTAAACTATAAAATGGGTCCAATAACGATAAAACGGGCCCAACAAAGGCCCATCGACAAATACAGGCCCAATAAAGAGCTACTCAACGACAAAATGGGCCCAATGGATATTTACTAAACAACAAAGCGGGCCCAATGAAAGCCACTATACGACAAAATAGGCCCAAAGAAGGACAATAAACGACAAAAGAAGTCCAAGAAAGGGGCAATAAACGACAAAACAGGCCCAACTAAGGCTCATATGATAAAATAGGCCTGACAAATGGCCACTAAACGACAAAGTAGGCCCAACGAAGGGCCATTAAACGACAAAACAGGCCCAATAAAGAGGTGCTAAACGACAAAATAGGCCCACTAAAGAGTTACTATACGACAAAGTAGGCCCAACGAAGGACCACTAAACGACAAAAATAGGCCAGAAGGACAATAAACGACAAAACAGGTCAAACTAAGGTCCATAAACGACAAAATAGGACTGCCCTATTTTGTCGTTTATGAGCCTTAAAATGGGCCTGTTTTGGCGTTTAGTGCCAATTCATTGGGCCTATCTTGTCGTTTAGTGGTTCTTTATTGGGCCTATTTTATCGTTTAGTTGCCTCGTCTATTTTGTCGTTTAGAGGACTTTCTTTGGGGCCTATTTTGTCGTTTATTGGCCTTTCTTTGGGCCATTTTTGTTCCTTATAGTGGGCTCATTGTGTCATTACTGGGCTTTCAGTGGGCATACTTTGTTGTTGATGGGCCTCCAGTGGGCTCATTTTGTCGTTCACGGGTCTTTAAGTTGGCCAATTTTGTCGTTTATGGATCTGTTTAGGGGAAATTACACCGTTCATTGGCATTTCGGTAGGCTGACTTCATCGTTCACGGGACTTTAATTGGGTCGACATTGTCGTCAAAATCATCCAAACATATACGGAGGTGCTCGACATAACTTGTCATTCTTAGCTATTAGGGCACGTTCACTCTTATTTGGTTACTTTGAACGAGGAAGGGGCCAATACTTTCTCAGACTGAATACGTAAGCCTATAATTGATAATGGCGCAGTTCCAGAAATTCCAAAATCATTATAATAATAAAAAATTGCATTGAGCTAACGGGTTCAACGTTAATCATCGATCAGAAATGTTAAAGGGTTGAGGGGTCCCAACGATTCTAGTTATTAGGCCCAACGAGTGAAAATGCATTTCACCAAACTATACGCAGATAATAATTTCCATCCAACAACAAAAATTTGACCTATTGACTAAATATAACATCTAATTTTGAAGTGGATTTGACATCAAACCAAGGAATATACTGTGACATGCTAATGTTCCACTGATGAAAATATGACCATGATTCTGCAACTCACATATCCCTTTAAGGGCAAAGTCAGTTTACAAGTCTGACATTGTTAAAAAAAGACAAATAATAATGGAAAACGGATAACCCTCAATCAGTTAGAAAACAGTCTATTTTGACATCAAGGTGCAGTGACTCTGCTCTACAACTAAGAATTAATCCAGTGCTGCAAAAGGCAGTCTTCTCATCACCCATGACTTATCAAAATCATGTAAGGAAATGAATAAAATATATTACTATAAATTCATGTTATGCAATCAACTAAGGTTTGATATGCGTCGCATATCAAACTGGATGTTTGAGCATTCACACACAGACACACAAAAGAACAAGAGCACAGAAACGGATCTCTGCAGATCACGAAAGTCAACATTGTCCATTTAGTACTACAGCCCTAAAGATGAGTGGTAAAATTCAATCATATAGAAGATTTAACGTAATTTGTGATAGGAGAAAGTTCAAGGTCTTTAAAAGTAAATCAAACCCAGATTGCAGATTGGGTGTGTCCAAGACCCCATGAAGAATTCCTTGCTATATTTTGGAGCCTGCAATGCAAATAGACCAGCGTTTTTTTTGTCATTTGTATGAATTTTGGAAATTACACTTCCATCAAATCATACTTGCCCCTGTGTTGTGGCACCACTTGTAAAGTAGGTAGGGATGGGCAATGGGTTACCCATTGGCCCAAATGGATACCAGTTAGGTGGTGGTGGTGGTTAGTACCCATGGGTGCCCATTGCCCATCCCTAGTCACAGTTAAAAATTTAAATTAAAAAAAAAAAAACAAGTACATAATTTGGGTTGGGAGAGGTTTTGGGCAATAATTTGGGATATTTTAGGTTTAGCCTCTTGGGTTGGAGATGGCCTAAGATAGGATCTATTTGAATAACTAAAACCCAAAGGTTCTTACAGTTACCCCTAACAAACTCTAGGAAGTTGAATTAAATGCTTAAGGGAAGCAGGGTTAACATCCTATATAAATAATGGTATGGTTTAATCTTAAATGAAAAATTGAACATTTTTACAAAGTCTAAATATGTATTGAAATGTCACTGTATCTCTGTGTGTGTGAGTGAGAGAAGAAAAATATGAATGGAAGGATGAAGGTCCTTTTACTAAGGCTTCTCTTTAGCTTCCCATGGGCTTGTCACAAAATTCTATAGAAGTACCACATCTTGTTATGCTTTAAAGTTTTAAGACATAGGAAACTATCATAAGGCTTAAATGGTGGTAGTATAAAATAAACGTGCCTGTATGAGAATCTTTTTGGAGCATCCTTTGCAGAGAGGGGTTTAGAAAGTGACTTTCCTTGAAACCAAAGTCCAGATTCATACGTTTTTTCAAACACAAGCTACAAAAGAAAATGCAAAATCAAAACCTCTTTAAAAAAATACATAGTTTGTACAATGAGCTCAAAGAAACTTAAATTTGGACTCAGCAGAAATTTAACTATACTTGAGATGTAGATAATGTAAAAATGGTTTTTCTCTTTTTCCCAATTTTTTTTTCACCACTAATTTCTTGTCCTCAAAATAAGGGAGGATATGAAGTTGGTGATCAGAAGAACGCTCTCTGCTCTCTATGATCCCAAATCTTTAAAAAATTGCATCTGGTGCACACCTACATTGAAGAACCCTAATTCGACTCCACTCCATAAACTTCATATATTGTTTGAATGCTATTATTTCTACAACTATCACCGCACGTAGTGAAACCCTAAGCGTTCTTCTATCGCGCAAAGGAATCCTAGAATTAAATACAAGAAAAACGTGTGAACAGAAGAATAGGGCAAAGATGCTCACCCTTATTAACACAAGTCTATTATCGCGCCGAGAATGAGGAACCCGTGGACGGCATCATCGAGATCTCGTACATTCTCGCCATTACCGTCGTTTCCCTAAGAAAAAACACATCCTCTTGCGATCTAAATATAAAACCCTAGAATTAATACAGGAAAAATGTGCAAACAAAAAGATAGGGTAACGGCGCTCACCCCTATGGACGACATCGTAGAGAGCTCGTGAGTGTATTGTTGCCATTGACGGTGGCCTGCGAAGCCGCTGTGTTCTCCTTTGCCATCGAAAAGCCCTAAACCCAAACGATGCTAGTAATTCTCAGGTAGCTAGTATCGTCGACACAGTTGCTGTATTTCTGAGAAATACTAATCATCGATCTGTCTTTCGCTAGAAGATCGGATCGTGCGAATGTAGAAATGAATTCCTAGAAAAAGAACAATCAAAATTTTCTCTAGCAAATCATAAACTCGGGCCTTGGTTTTCTTATCAAAACCCTAGCCCTGGGCCTTGATTTTCTAGAGAAATCTTAACCTTGGGCCTTTGATTGTCTGGAAGAAACCCTAGCTCCTCGGCCTTGATGGGAAAACCACAAAAATAGATAGTAGAATGAGGCCACGGAGTTATAGTCCTTTTACCGAGGTAAAAAGACCTTATCCTTGATGTTTTAGACTGAAATGAAGACTATCACCAAAAAAAAAAAAGGAGACTAAAATGAAGACATGCCCATGTGTTAAGTGTTTTCTTTCTTTTATTTGTTATTTGATTAAAAAAAGGGTAAACTGCCGAATACCCCTTGAACTATCATGCTTGTTGAAATCTCCATCATGAATTTTTGTTTCAGCCAATTTAGCCCTTGTATTAAATTTATTCGTCAATTTCACCCATGCCGTTAGCTTTTTCACAATTTCATCCAAATGCCCGTCAAATATAAGGGTAAATTTGACATTTTATAAGATTTTTTTTTTTATTGAACAAGATATTGGGTTAAAATAGGAACAAAAAGTAATTTGATTATAACAAAATATAGCGATCAGGCATGTTGACGCTCAGTACATGCCGAGCTCATCCACCTAATAGAATCTCGACACGTGGCCCGCATTTGACACCTACACAAACCCGTCAAACAATGAGACCCCCTTTGACTGCCAACCCGCCTGACCTCGTTACACGCGCCCTGTCCCCTCAGAAGCCATGTGTTGGCCATGCAGACCTCCTCCTCCCCAGATGGGACAGGCGCCATTTTTGGCAGAAAAGGCTACTTCTGTCTGCCCGCCCCTAGTGGAAGTGAAAGGAGTCACCCTCAGCAGGAAGGAAGGGTGAATCCCGGCCATATCCCTCTGACAAATCTGATGTGATGTAAGCGACTCGGCTCCGAGCTGCGATGGTCGGCTTGTAAATCATACTGTCCTCCATCTCCCTATAAATAGAAGGGGAAGTTTTTGTAAAGGAAGGAGATCGATATGGTGTACTGATCAACTAAAATAAACAAACTCATTACTTCAGCTTGATCCCATCACTGTGATAGTGGGTTCAAACAAGGCATGTCTTTCAACATAATAAGGGGAGATAAACAACACGACCCTGAGTATCATAACTTGCGAAGATCTATCCCCGCCTTCTTGGCAACGGCATCAATTCCGTTTTTCTCTATCGTTTTCAATGCTTTAGTTGACAAACGCAGTTTAAGAAAGCGCTTCCCAGCTTCCCACCAAACCCTCTTGTATCGTAGGTTCACAAACTGCAACTTTTTGGTCTTGTGAGCTGAGAAGGAAAAGTACCAAAAAGTTGGTGGCATGCCAAATGAACATGTTGTAGAACAAACTAAGCAAACATATTTGTGATTCTTTAGTAAGTTGGCATCCTAAAAGTGCATATATATATTTTATGAAAATATAGGGATTCGAATTTCCTCTTGTGCTTGACTGCATGCTGCTCACTGCCACCAAATAAAACACCAAATCCACACTCCCTTAAAATAAAATATATTGCGAGACTATTACCAAATCCTAAACTTGGTTAATTGTATACGGGTTCTTTTCTGGGTTAATTAATAATTAATTAAATGGGTCGTAATGAACATGATTGATTACGACCCAAAAAAAACCCCATTAGGCATTTATCTTTTTTATCTATTATATTCTCATATAATTTTGAAAATTTCAAATTAGTCATATATTTTAACTAAATAACGAGGACATTTTAGTAATTAGCAATTCCATATAGTTTAATAAACAACTTCAATAGGTATATAAAATCTATTCTCCTCAATCCAACTTATCATCAATTCAATTCCTCCTAATCCAATTAGCGAAGATGCCATAATTGCATTCGACTCCATTGGTTTCTCTTCTCTTCTGGGCTTTTTGGCCCACGAACTGATCTGCGACTCCCTCACATTCACAAATGTCCCACCACCTGCAACCCGAAACTGCTTCCAAAACTGGTCTTTCGCGCATAATCTGATCTGGGTCTTCTTCAAAATCGCAAATTTCCAAATACCAACGACCTGAATTGCTTCCAGAAGTGGTTTTTAGCCGATAATTTGATCTGGGTCTGATTCAAATTTTTTACGCCTAGAGGTCCAATTGCTCTGATATTAAGCATGGTTTCTCTGTCCAATTCAGTGCTGTTTCCTCTTACTACATCCAGTGGCTTTTCTCGGTCGGCTAGATTTGCAAGGACAACCAATTGGTGTAGTACTAGTGACAAGCAAAAGGGAGAGCCCAGAAACGTTTTATGTGCTTGTATGGCGCCTCCCCCGAACTTGAGGAGCGATGAATCTTTTGCGGCAAAATTTGAGGTAAGTCCTTAACAACCTTTTCCCTCAAGTTATTGTCTTTGAAGAACTAGTCTTTTGTTTTTTTTCCTTAATTCTTTTATTCAAGCAACCATCTTCTATGCTTATTTGGCATCTATTGACTCTACATTTCATCGGTATTTGTCAGCTCCTTTTTATTTTCTTCGATAAGCTGCAATTGGAGAAAAAACTTGTCTTTGATTGATTTGAATCACTTGTTTTTGGTTGATATACTTATAGGTATCGTTATTTTTATTTATTTTCGCCCATATGTATCTGGGCAAAGTGTGCAGTTTTCATTTGACTGTGGCAGTGTGTTTTATTATGTTATAAGTTTGAAGAATACAAGTTAACATTTTGTGTCTCACCAGGATTCATTTAAATCAGAGAATTTAAGCACAGTTCGGGAGCCTGAGGATGATTCTGATGTTCTAATCGAGTGTAGAGATGTCTACAAATCATTTGGCGAGAAGCATATATTGAGAGGTGTGAGCTTCAAGGTGAATCTGATTTCAACACATACTAAGTTCTTTTGATTATGTCTTTTTAGTTGTTTCAAGAATTTATATGCATTTCTTTTGTGAGGATGTAGCATAGGTCTTAACTTTGCCATTTTCTTCTGACTAGGATATAGTTTCCTAGTTAAGCGTGCCAAAAGTTAACTCTTTAGCTTGGAATTTTGGCTCATAAAAAAATTTGAAAACTAATTATTTGCTTCAGAACAGGAAATCAATGCTTAGTTCCCTTCCTCATCAGTACGTATTTGTAAAAAGGAGTCAATGCACTATATGGATTGAATGGCATTTGGCTTATGGGTTAGGTAGTAGATTGTTATGCTTATTGAAGGTCATTCGGGTTTTGCCCCAATTAGAATAGTTTTGGAGGTTTGCGTCATTATGGGATTTGGTATGTTTTTTTTTAAGGATTTTCATTATTTCTCTTTCTTAGCGATGGGCAACAATCTGTTTTGTTGTTTTCTTTAATTTTGCTGTCTACCATGGGATGTACTGCTGGTCTTCCTTTCATTAGTTTGTGCGTTCTAATATTATAATTATGTTTCTCATAAAAAGTTATTGGTCAATGGTGGATTCATTTATAGATTAGACATGGCGAAGCTGTTGGAATAATTGGGCCTTCTGGCACGGGGAAATCTACAGTTCTAAAGATTATTGCCGGGCTTCTTGCTCCTGACAAGGTTAATAGTTAATCTGGTTCTCATGTTGTGCTCACCTTTGTTTAATTAACTTGCGTTTACACTTTAATGAGCTTCAATGAGCTTATTAATGGTTCTCTTACATAGACTCTGTCCATTGTGTAACACATCAGGGAGAGGTATACATTCGAGGTCGAAAGAGAGATGGTTTGATAAGCGATGAGGAGATATCTGGTCTTCGGATTGGATTGGTAAACTTTATTATTAACTGGTCTGCTAGGGGTTATCTATTCTTTCTGATTCACTTATATCCAAAAGGTCTTTTAATGCATTTATCTACTATCTAACAGGTGTTTCAGAGTGCTGCACTTTTTGATTCTTTGAATGTTCGTGAAAATGTTGGTTTCCTTCTGTAAGACAGCTTTAGATTCTTTTGAATTTTGGAGATATATATATATATATATATATTATTATTTTTTTGCATTGATTTCCACTTAATTGCATAGGGCTGATAGTTTACGTTTTAATAGAATATGCCCAAATATAATTCATTCATTAATTGATTAGGTATGAAAATTCGAGCATGCCCGAGGATCAAATTTCACAGCTTGTGACTGATAGCTTGGCTGCTGTAGGGTTAAAGGTATGTATAAAATATCAATTTATCAGTCTGCAACGAGCTCCAACTTACCAAGTCCTG